GTGCTACGTCTGCTGCTCCTCTGAATGCTTTAAACCCTAGAGCGCTACGTCTGCTGCTCCTCTGAATGCTGTAAACCCTAGAGTGCTACGTCTGCTGCTCCTCTGAATGCTGTAAACCCTGATTAGTCAGCAGGACAGGAAGTGAATTGCCTTTGAGCAGAGATGGAAAATCAACACCAGACTGAACTCTCTTTTACTAGGGTTGTTTTAGACAGTTATCTCAAAGGGTTCCTTTTTCATATTTATGGAAAGAGATAATGAAAATGTTCAGCTTGAAGCTCTCTAAAAACATTCCTTTTTCTTCTGTTTGAAGATTTTTTAACTATCAAATTTCAGCTTCTACTAAGCGCATCAGGGCCGACACTTCCTCACTAAGTTTTATGATGTTCCTCAGATTCATCAGATCCTTAATTATTTACAGATCAATATGGTCTATATAAGAGGGGACTTAAAACAAAGTGAAAACTTGAAGCAGTTGTGGTAAATGAGATTTGGATGCAACAGGTGAGCAACCACACACGTCCTCACAGATATTTTGGTTCTGGCAGAAATCGCCGTCCTGGAGGCTCAGTCTCCAACTCCATTAGCATTGCAGCTATTCTTACCATTCTACCTTCCTTTCTACTCAAAAAACATTTCTCTATTAACTAGGGGGGAAATGGTTTAATCTACCCACTAATTTACAGAGCTAATCTCCATTTTGTAAAAGGGAATAAGGGTAAACATGTTTAATCCGAGGTCTTTAAATGAGGCCTTGAATTTCTTTAAACAGAGCGACACAAATGATTCCACTGAGATCAGCTGAAGGGTTTTTATTTATTTTCTAAGCTCACATTTCCTGTAACACCACCACGTCATCATGGCAGGGGCGGGGGGTGGATAACGCTCTCCCTCCTGAGCCTGATCCCTGGAAGAACATAACCCCCCCACCTCGTGCTGACTGAAACTGTTTTACCTTCTGCGAGATATCAGAGCGACTAAGCGTAGGAGCGCCATCTACAGGGCTGGAGTTAGAAAGGCCGCATCTTATTCTTACCAAAACCTGAACGCCTCGCGGTTTCTGAATTTTTTTATTGATTATATCCGTAGCCAGAATGCCGATATTTCAGGATTTTTATTTCTCGAAGCATACGGTTTTCATAAAGTTTGACAGGTAAATCTGACCAGTCGACTACTAAGGATTCAGCTGAGCTGTTAGACATCAACTAGGCTAATAAAAACCAGAGTGGAACACAGGGAAAGATAATGACCTAATGACGGCCATCACTGATTCATTCAGTTCATCTCATTAGGGTCCATCTTTAATCAAGGAGGAAATAAAGTCTAAATTAGAAAATCAAAGAGTTAATTGGACGTAGGCTTTTAGGCGCTTTGGAGAAAAACAGCCAATATGCTACAGCCAATATGTTTTAGGAGAGTTAACTATGTGGTGACAGCATGAGCATGAAGTGGATTAAACGGCAGGACATCGATGCACGGAAGGAAACTTTAGCATCTCAACTAGCAACCTAAAGCCTTTTAGGTGAAACAAGTTTACTTCTGCTGATGTTCTAAGTGACAAGATTGAACATCTAAACTTACTGTGAGAGCGAGATGCATTAGGCTTACCGAACACAAGGAGTCAATGACTACAGAACCTGGAGCTGGGGTTCATCAGTACAAAAACAAAAAGGGAACCCCTCATGTCTCACAGCTAAAGGATGAGAGAATACATGTGTCCAGTATTATGCCAGGTATGATGGAAGCTTGTGGACCGATGCAGTTCAAACCAACATTCAATAGCAAAGCAACAAATGCTGTTGTGAGGCAGCGGGTGTTGTGGTAAATGTCACACCTGGTTTAATCCTGAGAAAGATGGATCCTGAGAAGAGCTAACAGCCAAGCTTCTTTTCCTCTTCCCCACTGACGAGTCTAAACACTAGGGCAGACAGTAGAGGGGGAGGGGTCAAAATTAAACAGCCGCTTTCCACCTTGAGTCAAAATTAACATGAGCACAACAGGCAGTTCTGTTAGGCCCACATGGTTCTGGGTTACGTGCAACAGGCAGTGTTCTCAGCAGCTACAATAAGCATTGACTGTATGTAGAAAAGGGAGCAGAAACCTCCTGAGAAATGTCTGAGTGTGAGTGGGTGGGGCTAAAGAAAGGCTCCTATCCTTGTGATTTCAGCTTTAAAATCCACCCCCCTCCCCTCAGTGCTGCCCCACTAAGTCTCCAAAAATACAGCTTCATCATCAGGAATAAAGCAAACCGACAGCAGGGGCCTGCGGGGATGGGAGGAATATGTGACCGAAGCAGCGGCCGCTCTAAACTCCTGCATTCATCAATGCTGTGGATTTACTTCACCGTGGAGCCGTCTCACTCCTTCAACCAGACGTGGGCAGCCCTGCGACCCTAACCTGGCCCGTGTTCATAGCAGCGGGATAAAAAGGGGAGGAGCTTGTTAGCCTGGAGCCTGAGCTGCAGGCCGCAGGGTGAAATGGACCCAGAGGAGCTCAGAGCTGCAGCAGCTTCCCTCACTTCATCTGCCATCGGCATAACACCATCGCCATGGAGACTGAAAAACCAGGATATGAAGCAATCATCCAGAATGTTACGGTGTGTTCAGGCACAGTCCACGGTCCAGCGGTGAACTCCACGCAGTGAGGGCGTTCACTGCTCCTCCATCACCTCCTGCTCCTACATGGAGCTGAGGAGTCAGACAGCAGCACCGCATGGAGAGAGAGGAGCGGTGATCGCTGAAGATGGAACCAGCTGAACTTCTCTATGAAAACGCAACATGGCGGCCAATCAGGGACTGGATGGAAGAGAAGCTTTTCTACTTCAAATAATTTCATCCTAGAAGGACTGTTGATCATCCTCCCTCACCTCCAGCAGTCTGCCACTGCCCGCTGCCCAGCATCAGGGCTTTCTGAGGGGGGAGATTTACAAGGAAGTCCTGCTGAATCAGAGCTGCTCTGGATGAACCAAAGTAGAAGTTTATTCCAGGAACTGATGGTCTCCCCAAGGAGAGTCTAAGGTTGTTCATAGAGAACAATTTAGCAGCAGTCCGTGATGTTAAGGTTGACCTGGGCTTTTATCCTGATAGGAAATGCTATGGGGTTGCCAGGGGTAACAGTAGCAGAGAATCTGGGAGGCTGGAGATGAACTAACTAAGGTCAACATGCCCGCTGTTCTATTCAGGAATGACATCTGATGCACTAACTTTACATCAGGAAACCAGCGCAGCACTAACACCTGCTGGGATGCCGATGTCATCCACTGAAAGTAAAAATAATAAATCAGACAAACG